TGAACCACAATACCAACAAGTGATTAATAAAAGTCAAAAGACCAAAGAGGTCACCTTAATACCAAAAAAAAAAAAAATATAAAAAAGAATTATTATTAAGTTTATATATAATTTTAAAATAGTACACTTTATTCTTAAAGTAACCAAATAATGCTAAACTTAGATATTAGAAATGTTTATATAATTGCAAAAGTAATTTAAAATTTTAATAAAATACTAGCAAGAAGTGTGATAATCTAGTAAAGTAGTCAGGTTATCAACTCTCTAACTAATAGATTAGGTGTTTAAATCCTATTGAAAATAAAAATTTAGATAATTATCTATGTAATATTCATATTATAGTAACTATTACTAATAATTGAGTTAGAATACTTATAATAGTAGTTACATTAGTATAACTAACAAGTTATAAGAAATCTGTATAACTAGTTATACAAAAGAATACAAACCAACAAATCAAACAGTGCAAACATTAAATAAGTCTTTGTAACTATATAAATCTGTTAAAATTAAGTAACAAAAAATTTATTTAAAAAGATTCAAGTAAAGAAATAGTCAGATTTTCAATAATCTTACTATAAAGATTAATTTAAGAAAATAGATACCAAGATTATAATATTCAGATGGATAAGAACTTTTGGATTAAAAGTCTTGAAGGTACTACCAACTAAACCACTAGAATGAATCAAAAAAAAGGATATCAGACTAATCTGATATATTGATAGACTGGTTGTAGTCTTACATAAACTATTTGAATTAGAAGTTTAATAAAAAGATAGATGAAAAATAAAAATATACTAAAATACTGAGATTATGTTATGAAGTAAATGTTGAAGTCTGTATAAACTCTACAAGAGCATAATGGTTAAATGATATAATTCTGATTACAAGTATTGGTTCTGCTATAGTAATATCTAGATCAACTGTAAAAATAGGTACAGAAGGTTTTAAAGTTTACCTCAAAGATAAAATAGTTCTAAGGTTGAGATGATAATCTGAACATTTGAATATGACTCAGTGATATTAACACAAATTGCAGGTTCAAAGGGTTTAAAGTAGAATATCTAAGCAGAGGTATTAGGTATGGCAATTGATAAAGGACCTTTAGGTGAACTTCTTAAATAGGTAATATAGAAAAATTACACATGTAACAAATTGTATACTTTTTTGTAGTGGTTTATAGAATCATATTACCAAAAAAATTATTAATAAAAATCAAAGATCAAAGAGGTCACCTTAATATAAAAAAATAAAAAATAAAGTACTAGCATGACTGCTTAAGAAAAAAAATAAAAATAAAAAAAATAAATTATATAACATTATACTTTTATACTCTATATGCAATAACATATTGTTCAAATACTTTACTATAGTCAAACATAATTCCAATCTATTCAGACCTTTTTATATAATTTCATACTTAACCTATATACTGTATATACAATATTTTTTAATATTTGAAATATTCAATTACAATACTTTAACAACAGATTAATAACTTTAACATTCTTAGCACAACAACAAAAATTAGATTACAACTTGAAATAATCATTGATCTATTATTAACATCCTTCAACGTAACTAACCTATAATTGATAGATACAACAAATATACACTTAACTTTAAAATTATTCAATTACTTCAACATCTTGAAATTACAATCATTGTTAATTACAATATATATATAATGATCGAATACTATACATAATAGTTGTCAAAAAAGATTTGAGCAAATTTAGATCGAAACTTTTCATGTTCCTGTTTGTGGCATGCTATGCCTGGACCTCGGCCCTAGTTATTAATCTAAAAAATTTCTCTAGTAGCGAAATTTTTTTAGGTTTGTGATATGGTTTAAATATAAACTATTTGGATTATAAGCCCAGTTCTATTGATCGAGTTTTAGCATTGATTAACCTACCAATCCAATCACGTAACAAGTAATAAGTAATGTGGTATCGAAAAATTATAATTTTGCCTATCTCTATGACCATATCGCTACTCTTAACTCTAATCTGAAATAGTCAATTATTTTCAAGTGTAAACCGGGTACATATTAAAAATTTACAATTTGAATAATAATAATAAAGAATTTACGGAGCTAATCTTTTTTTTTTGTCATTTTAATATTCACATTTTTTGTGTCTCGAATATTGTATAAGTATATAAACTTACAAAATATGTATATATGCATATATGTATAATGCTAATTATTAATTTCTATATCTTAAATTTTATACCAAACCAGTAATTTACTAATGAATACCTAAAAAACCAAAACCAAGCGCCACATCTATAAAAAAAAAAAAAAAAAAAAGGAAACCCCACAAATTCAAATCTAACAAAACCAACAAATTCAACAAAACCAACAAATTCAACAAATTCAATAAATTCAACAAATCCGACAAATCCGACGAATCCGACAAATTCAATGATGCAAACCATCATAGCGTAATTTCAGATTCGCATCATCTATTACGTTCTACTATGTACTAACAGGAGTACTCTCAAATGTTTTTGAATAAGGAAGTTTTTGATGCTGTCTCAATGTATTCTTAACATTCCTTCCATGAACCCTAAATTGATACAAACATGTGTACCTATCATGACCCCAATTACTATTAATCTTAAATATTACACTCTTTATGGGTATTCGTTCACTACCATTTTTATGGTCAACTTGAAATATTTGTACAGGTGGACCTTCCAAATCATAAATGAATTCACCGAGTCGTACGAAACCTTGTGATACTTCTAAGGCTTTTGACGTTGTATTTGATAAATATTTTTCATCTGGAATTCCAAGTACGGCAAATCTGGCAGGGGAACTTAAAATATTTGTATCATCCAAAGCTAAATTTCGATCTAAATGTTGATAAGAGACGGTAGTGATATAGATTGTTCTACTTAATTGAATTGCAAGTTGACCACGCATTCCAGCAAAAGCAAAACAATTTCCAATATGATTGTTTCCATCTATAGAAACATGAGCTTTATGGCCATGGATGTAACCATTATAAAGGAGTAGAGAGAACATTTTGTGAAATTTTGTATTTGGCATTTCTGAATAAGGTCTAGAAGTTAGACTATGAATTATACGGGCACCACCTGAAGAAAGAGCAAAATCAGGCATATTACGAATATCAGTTTTAATATATTCTTGAACTAAATTATGGGCAGCAGACATTACCCATTCATTAAGTTGCTCTTTATCAGGAAGAATAATTGAACCATATTTTTCACGAAGAACTCGTTCAACGATTGGAGGGACAGTTTTTCGTAACATTTCATCAACTTTTTGTATTGAATGTTCGAGGTTCATATGTACATCTAACATGGGAGGAATTGTTTTTGGACCGTAGTTAGAGCCCAGTATAGAGCCAATTTTTGACACCAATAAATCATAAATATCATCATATTGACTTGTTTCATTATCACTTATAATACTGATTTCATCAATGTCACTTGTTGGCCTTAATAAGATGAATAATAATAAAAAAATTATGGCTAATAACAAAGTTGTTTTACGACCAACTACGAATTTACGTATTTCAACAGATACGCTTGTAATGGTATTAACAAATTTTGACCATATAGCATAAATCATTTTAGTAACAATTCCCTGACGAGTTTGCCTAATAATATAAATAAATAAAAAAATGATATTTTAAGATAAATAAGAAAATAATAATTAATTACTTTAATAAAAATAAAAATTCTTACTGTATATTATTTATAGGAATATCAGCAATTATTGGTGGCCTCTCAGTTGTTTGTGGATTAACATTTTCAATGGGTTGATCATCAGATAGATTTTCAATTGTTTCTGGTATATCAGAAGGAACAATAATTGATGGTTGATCGTCAGGTATTTGAACCGAAGAAGTATTTTGTTTATGAATATTATTCGTATCTAGTTTCTTCTCTTGTGATTTTCGATTAACACGTCGTCTTGAAGTTGATGGAGTAACACTTTTATTTATTTTTTGAGTAGACGGTAATTCAGAATCAGAAGAACCACCAGCTTCATATTCACGATCATTTTCTTTAAGTTTATCATCATGTTTTGAAACAGGTTGACCTACTCCATAATCCTGCTTTCGAGTAGCAACCATGGCTGCGTAAATTATATTAGGGTTCATTAAGAGAATAAACTTTAATTTAATCTTGTATGAATGTTTAAAGAAACATCTGATGGCCGTGATTTCATGCTTGAAAATATATATTCAAGTATTCATATAAACTTTAGAGGGCAGGCACACCAAAATATATAAATCTAATAGCCAAAATCAATTAATACTTACTGATATAAAATTCGAAAAATTAGATCAACGAAAACGATTTTATTTCGATATCCTACAAAAAGAAAAAAATTAAGAGTTCAATTAATTAATAAATTAATTAATAAATAAATAAATTAAATATGAAAATTTTTTCAACAAAGGCGCAGTATGACCTACCGCGAGAAGTTAAACGGCCGACACGCCAATTTGTTCAATCAATGTTGTGTTAAAGATTGTAAAATTTTCTAAAGTGTGAGTAATTATTAGCTGGTACCCTGCCCTTTTCGAAATGGATGAGCAAAGTTAACAAGTTGCTTCAAGTAGTTCTTTCGACGGGACCAAGCCTCGAGGATAGTTGTATATTATGTTTTAATAAGACTTACTGCTTGTTGTCGTTTTATAATAATATTAAAACTTGGCTTGAAGTAACGGTTCCAAGCCGAAATGAGTGGACTAACATGTACACACTGATAAGGTGTCTTGACTTACAAGACAAAAAAAAAAAAGAACTAAAAGAAATGATAGTAAAAAAAAAATTTTTTTTTTTTTTTTTTATCTGAGAAGAAAATGCAAGTGGATGTTCAATAAACTATCCGATACATACATACATATATACAATTTAGCCTTGAGGGATTTTTTAAATAGTTAGTTTCAAACATGATAAATAATCATGATTGCACATGTATAAATTTTCATTGTCATATTTACAATTGCATAACCCTGATACGCGCATTTATGGCGCATTTATTTGACTATCACATTTGAAAGAACAAGTGAATTTTCGGATCGAGTACGTACATACGTATGTACATATGTGCGTACCTATGTATGTACAAAAGGAGATTTCTATTGTGAAAATTCTGAGAATTTTCTTGAATTTTCTTGCCGGCACGCATCATAATGATGGTGTGTAATTAGGTCGTACTTATTTTAAACATTGTTTCCGAGCTTCAAATGATTTATTTTTTTTTATTTTTGCATTATTTCAATTTTGTACACCATATCATAGTGCTTTTTTCGAAACTGTTGGCTTGAAACGTGAAAATTGTATAAAATTGTATCTATAGGGCATGAATCAAAAATAGAAAACTCAAAACTCTATTATACAATTCACGTGACTTGAGAAACAAATATTGATAAATTTGGGATTTGTTTGATTTTCAAAAACGTTACTAAAAACGTGGCATAATCTAAAACGAAAAGTTACCCTAATACAAGCTTAATTAAAATTACTTAAATTGAATTATGCTTTATCTGTTTATATATGTATAACATATTTGTACATATAGGATAGAGGATACAGGTACGTAGGTAGGTAGGTAGGTATTGGTTCTACATCTCACCGAGACGAGTCTAACATTAAAATCGTCCAGTTTCAAACAATTTGATTACTAGATATCTTGGAATTTTCAAAAAGGAAATAAATTATGACACACAGACGATGTCTCGTGACCAATCGGTTAGAATCGCTTCGTTTCATTGAAACGAATCGAATGTATTAGTCACGTGCATAATCTCACCAGATCGTGAGATATTTGACCGATATAGAGGTTGGAACCGGTTTTAATAATTCGGGTTTATCACATGAATTTTGGGATATTTTGAAAATCTATTCAATTAAATTTTAATAAATTCTAAAATATCACAAAATTCATGTGATAAACCCGAATTATTAAAACCGGCTCCAACCTCTAGACCGATATTGCAGCTTAATTCCGGCCTAGCTCCGGGCCAATTCAACTGTCCTAAACGTTACCAACTTCGCCGGTCAATCAGATTTCAAGATCAGACGTTACGCAAAAAATCAAATTAAACATTTTACCTATGAAATCACTTTCTGCGCATCAACAAAAAGTTTTCCTTGCGAAATTTTGCTGTTATGAATATTCTTTTAATAGCAAAACCAACCCTAATATAGTAGCGAAATTTTTTAGGGCCAATTCCGATCCTAAATTTTGGTCGATCTGTTGAATTTTTGTTGCTCCACTAATTTATCCTTAAGTTATTTGCAAATTTAGAGGCCTCTCTTTTTTTATTAACAGTTAACGTTAATGGATTTGATTTTAGTATTCATTGAAACAAAAGAGTGTTATATGATTATCTGGAATTAGTTTAGATTTCAGAATTAGTTCGTTTTTCATGTGAATAATATGTGATACGTAATTAGTTCTGTTTTTCATATGAATATATCTAAACCAATTCAATGAGAATTGTTAGTACACAATTTTTTATATATTCATCTTGCTTCATAAATTTATTATTAGATAACTTACTACAATAATTGTTGTGAACAAATGTTTAGATGCGTATTTTTTTTATAATAAAACATTTTTAATTCATTAATTTATTGCCGAACTTCTGAAATCTTACTATATCCAGTTTAAATAGTAATAAAAATTTTATTAGAATGTTGTTTTACTATATGAATCACGTTATTAAGCAATAAAAACAATCCTATACCTTAGTGTGCGTACGTCGGGATGGAATTATTGTAGATTTAGGATGTACTGTACCTAAATTGATTCCAAACAAACCTGAGTTGTGATAGAATTATTGTAGATTTAGGATGTACTGTACCTAAATTGATTCCAAACAAACCTGAGTTGTGATAGAATTCTAAAACTTGCCTGAGTCACTAAAGAATTCCGATTTAACTTAAGTGTATTCCAAATTATTTCATAGAGTAGTGTTATTGTCTTGGAATTTAAGTCGCTTTTAAATAGTATTTATTCATAGCAACTACTCCCATAGGGCATTGTTGTACATGGGACAAATCTAGGACAAAGTTGAGACAAATTTGAGATTTTTTAAAAAAAGATCAATAACTCAAGATTTTATTAAGATAACTTTCTTTCAGCTCCTAAATAAATTGTTTAAATTTCAATTTTGCATATACTTTGTTATTGGTTTGATATAGCTTTTCAAGCTAAGAATTGAGAAATTGATGAGACAAAGTTGGGAAGTTCCGGGGACTAAAAAAGCTTGGGTACATTCTTTTTTTACATTTACAATGATTTTTGTCACACGCGTTTTTTTGCAATATCACTTAATATTATCTATTTGTAAGATTGCATAATAGACACTTCTTTAACGCTTATGAGCATTGAAGGAATATGACCAACTATATTCTGGAATAAAAAAGAGTTGTTATAGAAAATTAGAACCACGAAATCTCGATCCCGCAAATGTTTGTCAATAATCTGATGCTTTTTTGGATCATCTGTATATTGGCACACAATTTGGCATATACATGTATCTTCCCGACTTCACTGCCACTTTCTCAGCACCAAGATAAAAATGAGTCATAATTTTATATATTTACCGCGCCACATATCATGACCTCAGGTCGTTATAATGATTATCTTCTGATTGCAATAAATGTTGTGAAATTTAGGGGTCTCAATCTAACCCTAAACCCTAACTTAACTACTAACAAAAAAGGCCCCAAAAATTTTTAAAAATCGGAGTTTAAATTTCATTATGTAAATACAGTAGAGATGGGCAAGGTAATAATGTAAGTAATAATTACTTATTTTTTTACCCAGTACTTAAACTTACGTACTATTACCAATGATTGTTTATGATGCATGATTATTACTTATTACAATTTTCAAATGTAATCTGGAGAGTAAAATTTTAAACTCAATAATTTTGTTGTTCGGATTGAATTTTGCATCTTTACTTATTATTATTTATTACGCAAAAAATTGTCGGAAATATTTAAAAATAATAAGTAATAATATGTTAACTTACTTTGCCCATCTCTAAAATACAGTATTGATTTTTTATCATATCTCTAAGCAGTTCCTTCACGATAAGGGTATTTATTCTGTTTTAATAAAGTTTTATGACTGTTTTCACACTCATAATTGAAAATACATAGTGCAAAAAAAGAAAAATACGTAACCTTGCGAAAAAGTGTGGTATAGGTTGGTACCAGTTAGATTATTTTCATATATGTTGATTTTTTTTAAATATTAACAGGTATTTTTACATTAGCTCCCGAAAATCTCCCTACGATTCTTCAAAATCCAGATATTGTCACTCTTGTTCTGAAATATTTAAAAGAAAAAAAAACCGATGAAATGCCTGCACTTTTATTTGATTGGAATGATGCAGGTTTTAATGACACTGTAGTTCCAAATTGCCGTAATGGTATTGCAACACAGACCAAAGCGTCTATAATTGCAAACCTCCTTGCAAACGGTACAACTGATTATGGGAATCTGAACATATTATTCATTTTTCCAGATGGTCACGCAATTGGGGGTTGGTCCAAGAATGTGGCAACAAACTTACCTTGGTATGAGATAATTATACATTTTAAATTCTTTAGCATCAGCTTAATCCATTATCCTTTCTTGAAGGGCGAAGCACCAAAATGGTATTCCTGATGTCTGCAACCAACTATTAGAATAAATAAGATTTCGGCGCACACAGGCAATACAAATATCGAGGATTTCTTGGTTGTCTTTGATTGAAGAAAAAAAACAAAAGTATTTGTTTTTCGAAATGATCGTTACTTTTTCAAAATCATTACAGTTAATTTACCCCTTCAAACTGATACCATTTGAATATTCAGTCTAGAAAACTTTCTCTCCTTAAGTTGTGCCAAAAATTGAGTAAATTTCTGCAATAAATCCATCCTTGTAAGGTTTTATGCTGAATACTTCGTGTCCAATATCATAAAATAGCGTGTATATGCTATATGATTCGGATAGCGTTTGATTATTTTTCGTGTAAATGCACTTACTCATATCATGGTTGCTTTCCTTTAAATCAGTTTTATGGCCAGTTTACAGTTTGCATATTTTATATAACATATTGTATATGTACATTTAAAGTTTTAAGTTTGACGAAAAACAGGAGGAACTGTCGATGTTACACGACTGATCCTTCATAACGTTTAGTATATGTTTCACACCGGGTGAGGTAACCCGGGATCTCGTGTAACAAAACAAACGCGAAAAACATTTGTAAAAAAATTACTATGATAACTAACTTCCAACCTTTAAGTAAAGTTTTCAGAATGAAATTTCACTTATAGGACGCAATTGTTAATGTTAGATATATAGGGAATTTTTGAGATACTGTCACCCATATTTTTTGGCCGGCAGCTCGGGATTTTCTTGATATAAGGATACCCTTCATACACTGGTGTAAATTAATAAATTTTTTTAATTTTTTTTACTATTTTAAAATTTCTACGTACGTATACATAACGATAAACTAAACATTTTTTTTTTTTTGAAATTAACCTTTTTTTTACCCGCGACCTATCATGGGACGTCTTAGAGGCGTTCTAATTAACCAATTAAAATTAGGTGAGAAATATAAATGTATCACATTTGTGTAATATATTTTTTAAAAAATTAAGAGTCTTAAAAATGAATTTGCACACGAATAGACCATTTTAGTTACGTTTTAGCATCCTAAAAGCATACTGATACTAAAACGGTCAAATAAATTCGGTAGTACTAATACAAGTTTTTTGGTACATTAAAAGCTTCTCGTTGAATTGTCAGAACATTATATAATTGCATCGCTACCTTAGTTAGTTACTAATAATGAACAGACAATATAAATTATATTGGGTTTAAATTGATCGAACCAGTTTGAGAATAATTTACCATAATTATACTAAAGAACCAATTGAACTTTTTATACCAAACCATTGTGAACATTCAAAATTTTGAGTTTGTTATATTCAGAGTTCATTATAAGGAAGGTTCGATATATCCTGAGTTGATGTACTATTTAATTCTGGAAACTTATCAGAACTCAACAGAAACAGTTCATTGACCTTATATGTAATTCTACATATGGGCGGATTTGACTTCGAGGAGTGTCTTTCGATCGTTGTGCCTTTCTTTGTTGGATCTTGTAAAATATTAATACAAAAAACAAGTCTTCCCGTCTTATACGTAAAGGATTTACGTCGATTATCAGCCGATTATTAGCTGATTTGTTGTTAAAATATTTGGAAAGCCACTCTTTAAATACATTATAGGATAACCTTAAAATTCAAATTTATCTATTTTTTATTAAAATCACAAATTTATTTATTGCAATAATTATAAATTAATTTAAAATATATATAATCTTAAATTAAAATATTGATAGCTTTAATAATAGACAAATATGATTCTAACAGTAAAAAATCTTATTTCAATAGTAGATAATCTAAAATATAATAATATTAAAAGATACAAAGAAATTTATATTATAATAATTTAAGTTAAATTTAAATTTAAAAATATAAAATTAATAATAATTATTAGATAATTTATAATTAAATCATAAACAGAATCGTAAAGGTGTGGTAACTTGGTGTAGTTGATAAGTTGTCAACTTCCAAGTGGCAGGTCTAGTGTTCAAATTTCATTTATAATTAAATTTGAAAATTATATCTGTGCTATATCAAACTGTTTCTTAATAATGAGTTGAATTGATGTGTTTGTAATCTTAGATATATTAAATTAATTAGAAGCTCAGAGCATATATATAAAATGTAATATTATATATATATATATAAATATTTACTAGTATTGCAAAAGATTTTGTACAAACTTATAATAAGATTATTAAATACAGAATATTAAAAAACTATAAATACAAAATCTTAAAAATTTCTAAGTAAAAAAGTAACACAAATTTTTAATAATATTATTAGACTAATAAAAGATTATAAATATTTTCAAAAAAGATCTGCTAGATAAAAAAATGACAAAAATATATAAAGAAGTATATAACCAATTAAGTTATTAAAATTTACTAGAAAAAAAGAATACAAAAAATATATTATATCAGCTTATAATTTAAAAAGTCTAATTAGTATTAAGTAAAAGAACTAATAAAAGATAATAAAAAAATATTAAAAAATTGATACTAAAATTTAAGTAAACTTTATATATTTTTTTTAAACATTAAGATAAGTACTTGTGACTCAGGATTTTATTGATAGTATTTGGCTAATAGTTGCATTACAACCACAAATGACAATTATAAAAAGAGTTTACAACTAGCTACTCATATAACTTTAATCATTGTCTAATTTAAATAGTCTATTCAAAGGTTTTATACTAGTTGTTATACCTGAAACCTGCTTGTAGATTCTTTATTTAATCACTTTAATTTTTATATTTACCTATCTACCTCTGCTTACCAATAACCCCAGCTAATGCTGATGAAAATATATTATGATCACTAAGTCTTTAAAGCAGTTTTTTAGAATCTTTGACTTTGTGCTAAACCTTTTGGAATCTTCTATATCTTATTCTTACAGCTAACTTAGTATTACTATGGTCAATACCAATACTGACAGTCAGGACATATCATTAAACCACTATGCTCTTATAAAGTTTATCTTAACCCTAATACTAATTTTACAACATATTCTTACTACTTTGGTATTTAATTCAAATTCTACCAAGCTGTCATTCCAGATAGTCTAGAAGGGTAGGTCAAAACTATACATCTCTAGTTTACATGTTTGCTGCTATGTATCCTTTTTCTTCAAAATTCAAAAATTTCAACAACCTGATTAGTTCATCTGATCTCTCTTCAAAGATCAGTACATTTGCTTAGTTTTACAAATTCTAGTTCTGTTTCATAAGTTTAGTCTTTATAATAGCACTATTGAAAGTTTGAATTACATCTCTACTCAAGTCTTCTAAGTGGGCTTCTGTCTTTCTTCTTTTAGTTTCTATAATTACATAACTATAAAAACTTATTGTAGGTTTGCACTGCCCAGTACTAGTTTGTATTTCTTCATATAACTACAGACCTTGTCTTAAAGAACAATATCATATAACTGTTATACAAATGCTATGTGATCTGCCAGTTATGCTAGTGCAATACAAATAACAGATATCTTATCTTAACCAATTGTGAGAGATAGTTAATTATAACACAAGAAGAATTTTCAAATTTTTTGTCAACACTAGGATTTGAACTCTGAATCTGCCATTTAGAGGTTGACAATTTGACCATTTTACTAGATTACCATACCTTACAAGTAAACTTTACATAATAGAATAATGTAATATAATAATTTAATAAAATATCTGTAATTGCAAGTATTAATTTTTTTTTTTTAAGATGACCTCTTTGGTCTTTTGACTTTTTATTAATAACTTTTTTAGTAATGTAATTTTATAAACTATTACAAAAGAATATATAATTGGCTATATATATAATTTTTCTATATTACCTATTTAAAAAGTTCATCTGAAGGTTCTTTATCAATTACTATATCCAACACCTCTGCTTAGATATTCTACTTTAAACCTTTTAAACTTGCAACTTGTATTAATATCATTAGGTTATATTTAGATACTCAGATCATTGTTTTAATTTTAGAACTATTTTATTCTTGAGATAAATCTTTTAAAATTTTTTGTATTTATTTTTATAACTGATCTAGATATCATTATAACAGAATCAATACTTGCAATTAGAGTTATGTTTTTAACTACTATATTCTTATAAAGTTCACTCAAATCCTATTATCTACTTTATAACATAATCCTAATACTTTAGTATATCTTTATTTTTTGTTCAAACTTTCAATTCAGGTAGCCTATATAGAATTATAATTAATCTATTAGTATATCAGATCAGCCCAATATATTTTTTCTTTAGTTCATTTTAGTGACCTAGTTTCAAGTTTTTTTTTAATTCAGAAATTCTTGTTTGTCTAAATACTATGATCATAGTATCCATTTTCTTGTACTAATATTTACAATAGTATTATCAAAGATCTAGCTATCTCTTTATTTAGGTTTTTTTAAATAAACTTTTTGTTACTTAATTTTAATAGATTTTTGTAGCCTCATTAATATGCAAAATATAATACTATTCTATAATATTTGTAGGTTATAAGTCTTAATAAAAGATTATGAGTTATATACATCACTTTTTAAATCTGAAAAAAAATAATAATAATAGCTGGCCAATAGCTTGTTGGCTGCTATAAGATTAGAAAAATATAAAAATAAGCTGATATAATTAAAATAGTTAAAAAATTTATTATCTCAGATAAAAATATTAAAAATTATCAAAATATTATTTAAAAAATAATGATATTATAAAGAAGATACAAGACAATATTTTATCAATAATATGTTTATATATTAAAAATTTGATAAATTATAAGAAGATATACTGTTAGTTTACTAATAAATTTTTTTTAATTATTTCAAATAATATTTAGATAATATAAATCATATTATATTAATTATAAAAAAAATTTAATATATTAGTCAAAATATTCAAACTAATCATCTTATAAATAATTGACTAATATATATTTTTTTTTTTCGATATTAAGGTAATCTCTTTGGTCCAAGCTTTTTATTAATACTTATATCGGGTACATGTTTTATATAGACATATCTATAATGAACTATTAGACGAGT